ATTGGAGACATGGATTATATAGTGGCGAAGCCTTGGGGCCGCCGGAATGCATTCACTATGACAAGGTGACGCGGGAAGGAGCACGTGCTGTATATGGGCTCTGCGTGAATGTATGCTACGACCAATCCTTGTGCTGCAGTCCCGCTTGCTTTCACAGCAATCACTGTCAGTCTGCATTGACTCAGACACAATCAGAGGGATCCATTCACAGAATCCAGGGTCCCGGAACGTCGCCCGTCGCAATGATCGTGCTGCGCCAGTATAGCATCGATCGATCGGGAGTGTCCTGCATGTTGCTACGCGTCACTCGGAGTCGTCGATGTAATATCCTTCCTCGAGCTTCCGTTGGTAGTCGTCCTCGTCCCAACGCCAGTACGCCGCGGACTTCGCATCCCCATCCGCGCTACTGCCAGGTTCGGGGAATGCAACATGATGATACGAGCACGACTTCGCCATGATCGGCTCCACTGTCGCGTCGAAGGTCAGTCCGAGCTTCTGCTTCGCCCTCGTGATGTCGCCCCTGCTGTAATAGTCCTGACTCTCGTTGCGATCGTACAGAAACAGCTTCTTCACAACCCCACGGTTCCGAGGTCCGATAGCCGTCAACCACTCCACCGCGGTGTCGAAGCTTGCACCATGGCAGTAGTGCGCTTGAAAGGTGTTCTCGCGGTAGAACATGGGGAGGGTCAGATTACGGAGCAATCTGCTGGTCTTCGTGAGTGTCGGTTGGCGGGGACCGTGCAGGCTGCCTGCAGCCCACGCCTTTGCGTCTTCTTTCATTTGGTCGGAGCGGCCCCGGTAGGAGCTGTTGCAGGCTCGGTTGAGGATCAGAGTGTCTGGCTCTGTGACTGCGAGCTCATAGATCTGCAGCTGGAGCTCGATAGGTAGCCCGAGGAGGAGACTAGGCCCGGCGTGTTGCTGTTGCGCGGCGGCGACGCTGGTAATATTTGACATGATGTCTTTGTCGTCGATACAGGAGATGTGGAGCGGTATGAGACTGGAAGTGGGAGAAAACAGAGTCATATGGATCATCGTGCGGAGGCGGTGCTGGAGCCTTGAAAACAGCCCCCATGCAGACCTACCAAGCTCCCCCTCAATTCCAAGGCATCAGGTGCTGACTCCTTGACAGCGACTCATTAGTCTGTCGAGGCGTTGGCAGAGTCATTCTTATGTGAAAGGACGTTGCTGTCAGGTGAGGGGATGCGTGAAAGTGATATAGGAGAATGGGAGGTCGTCTACCGAGTACGGACGTCCTGGGACGCATTGCCGAGGTTATCCCATCAGTAGGGAGCCTATTCTGACACTCACATGTACCGATAGGTATGTCTGCGTGTACCGTCGAAAGGGCCGTGCCCTATTCGTGTCAGAGAGAATAGCTGCAGATGCGGTCCAGCGGGCAATAATGGCCGCGCAAACATCGCATTGACGCACAGCTGTTCCAAAGCAGGCGCCATAACACAAAGACTTGAAAACCTCCGACCAGTCTCCGGCAATGGCGAGCGCGGCCTCCAACCTCCGAGGCGCGATGACCTCAAACGGCAACGCTCGCTTCAACGACGAGGCCGCATCTTGGGACGCTCGCCCCTTCGTGCATGAAGCCAGCAAATTCGCGGCCGAGGCCATCTTGGAGAAGACCAAGGCACTCAAGACGGCCCCGCAACAAGTGCTCGAGATCGGTTGCGGCACTGGCATCCTCTCATTCCTCATCGCTCCACACGTCGCACGCGTCGTGGCGGTGGACGCAGCCGAGGGCATGATCGACGTGCTCAAGCAGAAGTTGCAACGTCCGGAAGCACCGAAGAACATCGTGCCGGTAGCAGTCCTGCTCGAAGATCCAGAGGACCGCGCCTTACCACCGGCCGATGGTGGGGACCCCGAAGGCGGCCGGCAGAAGTTCGACCTCATAACCTCCCACCTCGTGCTGCACCACATCGAAGACCTGCGCGCCGTCCTGAGCACCATGCTCCGCTGCCTCGCACCAGGAGGGACAGTGATGCTGACGGACTTTGAGGACTTCGGCCCAGAGGCCAAGCGGTTCCATCCTGCCGGGAGGATGGCCGGGGTTGAGAGGCACGGGATCCATGCCCAGAGTATGGCGGACTTGATGGAGCAGGTTGGGTTTGTGGGGGTGGATGTGGGGTCTGCGTGGACGATGAGTAAGAAGGTCGAGAGATTTGACGGAGAGTTCAAGGATGGCGGGATCGCGAGACCCGAGACGGGTGAGATTCTGAAGTTCCCCTTTGTGCTTTGTTATGGTGAGAGGTCGAGTTGATGAGTGAGGTCAGTCGCTCATCTGGAGGCCACAGCCCGGAAGGCTAGAGTAGTCGCATAATCATTGGTGGCGAAAGGCGCAGGTATCAGGTCCTACTCGAGCTGAGACGAGCCTTGGCACTGGCTTCAACGTCTGGAATCCTTCACGCTCGTCTGGAACGCTGAAATTGCGTTTGTTCTCCAAAGACGGATGTTAGAGGACCAAGGGAGGCCAAAGTCGCCATTGCCGCGATCGGTCAGAATCGATGACCCACGATGATGATCATCGCCATGGGCGAACCCACGGTAGATTGTTTCGGTTGCTTCGTCACCCACTCATCAGATCCGTCACCCTAATCTCCCGTCTCACGACCACAGCACCACTCGGCTTCAACCGTCTGTAGTACTCTGCCTCCCTGCCCACGATTTTGAAGCCGCGTTTGGCATACCACTCCAATCCCTCCTGATTCGCCTCCCACACGTGCGCGCCCGAGGACCCAATGCCATACTGCTCGACGGCGCGCACCGTCAAAAGGTGCAGCATTTGCGCCGCAATCCCGTAGGACCGATAGGGGGCGAGCAAGACGAGGGTCGAGAGATAGAGCATGGGCTTCTCTCCTGCGCTCGCTGAGTCTGATGGAGAGACCAACGGGTGAGCGAAGAGTCTGCATCGGATTGCCCCGATCAGCCGGCCTTTGTCCTGCCCAAAGGTGCAAGGATCGTCATGCCAGGTTGCCAGGAGAGTGATGTTGTTCGTTAAAGTGTCAGAGAGGATCTCGCCGTAGAAGGACTCCGGGTAAGGGATGGGCAGGAGTAGGCTGTTGAGGCGCTTGAAAGCTGCGACATCTGCTTTGGTGCAGGCGCGGATATGTACGTTGGGCGGGAGTTGTGGCCAGGTGGTCCGTGAAAGCACGTGTGTCACAGTCGCGTGCTGTTCCACTGGCTTGGAGCCCTGTTGAGCGGAGACTCCATTCTCGGTCGGTGCAGACGACGATGGTGGCGTAGGCAATTGTGTTCGAGCCTCGTCGGGTACACCCCGCTCGGCCGTCAGGGCGGTGGACGCGGGAGCTTGTACGACAGCAGCTGGCTTCTTGAGCCATGCTGTCAGCGACGACTGTGGCATGGCCACATTGCATGACTGCGTGTCGTCGAGTTGAGGTGGAAGTTGAGCAGACGCGTCGCGTGTGGTTGCAGCGAGAGCCTCGTCTCGGCACCGAGGATTCGCCGAGCCATTGGTGCACCAGCCAAAACTTCGACCTCAGTCGGCGAGAGCAGTACCTAACGTCCCGTGACACCAATGGGTAACGGCGGCTCCAAGCCGGAGCAACAAGTCTTCTCTGCGTGCGTGTCATCTCTCACAGTCTGCCGGGAGCGAAGCTGACGGAGTGAGCAGCGATGCGCCAGTGAGCTTCAGTCAGTCCCTCCTCGACTCTCTACAACGAAACCCTGAGGTACACGATGGCGATCCCAGCAACCTTTTGCACGTATAGGTAGCTCACCCAATACACCACAGACGGACTCCACCCGCGCCCACGACAGCGAGCTCAAAGTCCAAGCGCGCGTCCGCGAGGAGCTCACCCGCATCCGCGACCAGCAAGCTGCACAGTTCACCCAAATCACCGACTCCTTGACAATCTCCCCGCCTCAACCCAAGACTCCATCCAAATCCGGCTCCTCCAAGACACCAGCCACAGGTCTCGCCGCCTCCCTCAGCTCCCCCTTCTACCAGGACCACTCGCCGCGGAGCCCTGACAACCCCAACAACCCTGCGCCCTCCAAGCCGGACTCAGGCCGGAGTTCCGATAGCGTGAAGAAGGAGGTCATGGATCTGCGGAAGAAGCTAGAGGGGCGGAAGAAGGTCGAGCAGATGCCCAAGGAGGTCGAGGCCGCGAAGGAGAAGGTGGTGCAGTGTCTACGGACGAATGACCGGAGACCGCTCGATTGCTGGAGGGAAGTGGAGGAGTTCAAACGGGAAGTCGGGAAGCTGGAGGGAGCGTTTGTGCAGAGGGTTGGGCGGTAGTCGGGACGCGCGTGTGTACTGCCCCCGGAGAGGTGAGGAGACGGTGGGCCGAGTGTATCTATACCCTGAGGTCTGTACAAAAGAGCACACGACACGAAGCACCTACCATCTGATCGCCTCAATGCGTCATTAGACGGCTGGTTGTGGAAGATGAGCTGCGTGCTTGTCGCAGGACTCCGAGGACGTGACAGTGCGTGCAGAGGCCTGACACCTACCCTGCATCGGGTCTCGAACGACATTGGAGTCGCAAGAACAGCACAAACCATGGTCCACAAAGCTCCCAGCACTCGCTCGAGACTTCTGACCCGAGTGAAACGACCGCAGGACACGCTCAGACGCCGTTCTAGCCACAATACTGCCACTGCTGCAGTCCCGCCCGGCGAGTCGCTGCTCTGGATAGATCTCAGCATTTCTCACCTGGCCAAGGCGACTGGGCAATCAGCTGCAAGGAACGAACCATCACTCAAGCGACGCAGACACCTGTTGGTCCTGGGCGTCAGCCAGTACACCCGGAACGATTGTCAGGAATGCGGGATCTTGCCATACAGTCCAATTGTCGGGAAAAGGGTTCCCCACCGGTGCTTCATCTTCAGGGGGTTCGGAAAGTATGAGGCATGGAGGGCAGAGCAGGCAGGGTAGATAGTGTGGTGCGCCATACCGATGCCATCCATATTGGAGGGTGAGGAACAAGGTAGAGAGCAAAAGATGCGCATGGAAAGGACAAAAAGAGTGGACCTGCCAGGAATCGAACCAGGGACCGCCTCTAGACCCATCTTTCCGTGGAGAGACTTGCTAAAGAGGAATTATACCACTAAACCACAAGCCCATGGCATGTTTGCAGATATATCTGAGTATAATTCTACAGCATCTGTACCCTTCAAACCCCAACCACCATTGTCTGGAGACAGAAGGCTCAAGCAGGGTTAAGTCGGTGGTACACTCGAGCCAACTTGCTGGCTGGACATCAGCACTGTAAAGCACCCTGCCGAACCTATGATACATTTTCGTCCGAGCATGTACATACGAGAGAGCATTTGCTGTGTTGCGTAGAAGATCGGTAGACTAACGAGAACACATTGATGCTTCGAGCCGCCGATCAGCTGCCAGGCACACACATCGAGCTGGCAGAGTCGGAGTCCCTGGCACGCTCATCGCGCTTCGTTGCCCGCGAGTGTGCCTCCTACTCCACCTCGCCCTTCCCGCCAAACTCCTCGCCCTCCACCAGATCCGGGATCTCCTCGTCATCGTCGTTCCCCTTCTTCCCGTCTTCGCCCTCGCCACCCTTTTGTAAGCTCTGGTACGACTCCGCGAGCTTGCGCAGCGACGCGAGGGAGTCGGGGCCCAGCTGGTTCAGGATGCCGGGCACGAGCTCGGTGAGCTCCTTGTCCTCGCCGTTGCCGTAGAGCGCGAAGGTGTTGGAGGGGACGGACGCGTGCACTATAAGTTCGGTCAGTGTGTTCACGTCACATCAAGCCGCGCACGTGTGCGTTGGGTGTTGGCGGTGTGGGAGGCGTACCCTTGGGCGCGGAGAAGTGGATGACGTTGCCGTCGCTCTTGAACATGTTGACCTCCTCAATCTGCGTGATGGGCTGTACGTTCATCTTCTTGAGTGTGGTCTGCAGCTTCTTGTCGTCGGTGCCAGAGGACTTGTGCACCTTCTTGACCTTTCGTCGAGGTGTACCTTTCCCGCTTTCATCCTGTCAGCCATCTTCCTACATCACTCCGCCATGGATCAGCGAGACAGGTGTCGACGATGGTGTGTCGGTCGCAAGGCTGTCGAACTGCCGTCCGCGTGATGTCTGTTTTTGTGGGACCATTGCGGTTGTCGTTCTGAAGAGTTCAGGGAGTGAGATGCTTACCCTGTGACACTGTTAGCTCTGCCATCGCGCTCATGACACCGTGGTAGTCGCAACCACGCCGCTAGCAGCACACATACCAATGCGCACCGCATTTTGCATGCGGGCCAACTTCTCGTGATCCATGGTTGCAGATTGCGCCTCCCGCTGTCACCCTTCAAGTGCTGGGACTTTGTTGATCTCTCGGTGCTTTGCAGGTGCCTCAATTGCTGTTACAGAAGCGGCAGTAAGGTCCCTAGTTCCTGTGTCGAATGGTCAGTTTCTTGGCGGATGTGTTTCGCGAATGGTGCACGGACATCAATGCGGAGGTGAGCCTAAGGCAAGATTCGACCGTGTCACCCACGACCTCTCATCGCCGTTGCCGACGGTGTCTGGCGACGACACTGCGCGGGTGGTACGTGTGATTCAAAAGCGACCCTAGTGGCCTGCACGCCGCGTATGTTTCGCGATAAGGCCGCGTCTGGTCTACACAAGGTATGGAAGCTGCTACAGAGGCTGCTCCCCGATTGTGCGAGCTCCCCAATCGTCAACAACACATGTTTGATCACCACTGATGTCCCCACGACTATGCACCGCTGCCGTCGCGCTGTGGGCGGCACTGACCGCAGGGGGCCTCAGCAACTTCGACTCACCAGTACAGCAGCCGCTCGACTTGGCCAACACTCCCACTCCCCTGCTAAACTTCTCGTCCCCCTCCCCACTCATCTTCCACTCCGTCTTCGGCCTGCTGCAGCAATGGCCGAACACCTTCTTCCCCAACGGCCACACCATAGCCCCATGCACCATCGCCAAGAACACCAATCTCTACCATGCTCGCTCGGACGGCTCCTTCCCGCCAAGTCCGGAATGGTTCGCCTTCGACCCACAGATGTCCTACGCCATTGCTGGCCTCCGGGAGGACAGCCATCAGCTCACGTTCCGCACCACCAAGGAAGTGCAGTGCCTCTACTTTGACGGCACGAGCGCATCTCTCATGGACGATGGCAGCATGGACACCCAGATGCTCCTGCTGCTCAACAGCTCGGCGCATGTGCCAGATCACCCAGCATGGGCGAAGCCCCCGCCACGGAACGGCAGCCACAGCCAGCCACCTTGCGAAGGACCCCATGATAGCAATTGCACGCGATGGAACCCGATACAAGCCGAGTACGACCGCGCGCAAGGACTGTGTGATCTCATCAAGCAGGAACGGCTGGGCGGCCTGGGGTGGGGCTTCGAAGGCATCTTCCGTATGAATGCAGCGTTCGAGCTCATCTGGTGCAACTTCAGCTCTCCTTCTGCGAGACTTGCCTCCTGGCTTAATGTCTCCGCCCCGCTACTGGACGGGGTCGAGGACAGCTGGCCGGCACTTGCAATGCTGGAAAACATGCAATCAGTACGTGGCGGTCCTCGGGATCTAATGCTGCAGCCTGAGAAGGGGTCTTCGCCAGGGATGTTTCCTTCCCTCGGCCACCCCTTCTTCATTAGTGGCATTTACGATTGGTTTCAGGCCGCTACGAAGCGCTACGGATTCGTTGGAGGCGTCCCCGGCCGCGGCGAGTCTCGCGTACGCGTTGACAGTGCCCGGCTCTTCACGTTCTACGACCCGGCTCTTGCCCATCAGGAGACCGCGCGTGTGCGCCAGGAGGTCGAGATGTACAATCTCACTGAACGAGGATATTGGCACTATCCAGCGGCGGGAGCAGACAGGCAAGCTGCGCTGACCAAGCTGACGCGTAGGAGGCGGTGGCAAAGGACACTCAATGTCAGCGAGTCTGACGGTCAATACATGCGCGCTACAGTCCTGAACCGCATGCAGGATCACCTGGTAGCGTCCTCACATTCACCTCCCGACAACGATTGGCTCCTAGCTGCAAAAGAGATGGTCACCGTGTACGGTGGCGCCATCCACGACCTGCGAGACCACCTCGAGACTTGCACCTCGGACATGGACCCGGAGACACTCCGCGTATACGCCGCACGTCTGCGACAGAAGTTACATGCGTTGTGGATGCCGTACTTCCAATACCCTCACTTTGGACCCGACGATCTCGACGCCTCCTTCTCAGTATCTGCCCCAACATCCCAGTCGGCCTTGGAGCGCTGTCAGAGCCAGACGCAGTCTAGCGACAGGGCGAGGCTTTCTACGAGCGAGAACGTAACGTACAACGCAATCTCGGAAGTGCTCTCTGGAGTCTGCGGTAGCTTGCTACCAGTCTTCCTGGGCGTCGAACGCAACTGGCTTTCGCACCTCAACAACATATCGGCGCCTGCACCTGTCTTGTCTACGCCAGCCTATGCGGAGATCCAGATGTCTATCCAGGACAGCCTCCGTATCGTAGAGGAGCTGATGGCTTGGCTGGGATGGGCGGATCAAGGGGTGGCCTGCAACCCAGGCTGTGGGCTCGGTGAAGTCTGCTACATTCCGATGTGGCCAGCGATGGGTGGCTTCAGAGGTGGACCTACTCCGAAAATCCGCACTGAGCCTCCGCCTAGCGATGATGGCCAAAGGGTACAATCCGGTCGCTCCGGGATGGATGCTGTGGAGGACCTACTCTGGAGGCCAAAGTGTGTGAGTGCTGAGCTTTGGCCGCCGAAGACCAGTGAGTAGCACATGCACGCCGTTACTTCTCCGGCGCTCGCAAAAGCTTTGTGTAAGCAATGTTCGGGCCGCCGGGCGAGCAAGCATAAGTCCAGTCCACGTAACAACAGCGTGGCTCACTCATCAGAGTCTGTATGGCGTTAACAGAACATCGTTTTCGCATTGGTTCATTACCATCCACACGAACCGGGCGGGCACAACTGCGGAACAGTGCCGTGGTATGCGGCACAACGCCAGGCTTGCTTCCTTCCACGGCTTACAGCATGCAACGAGGCCTCGTCATCCATGGCTGACCGCCGCAGTCTTCTATCCGCGTAGTACCCAAGACTAGCCTGGTCGGACAAGCTTCTGTCCGTCCTCCTTGCCAAGTACTACAGAGGCTTGCTATGGGACTATCCAATGACACTTCGTGTAGTCAGTGCGTAGGAAGCTGATAAGTAATCGAAGCGGAACCTGCCAAGTGGCGGCACCGTGGCGTCAGCCCCCGGAGATCCTCCAAGACTTCGAGGTACCTGGGACGGAGGTATCGCCTGTTCGCATCAGTAACCCATGAGGCATGGGCTGTTCAATATAAGTGCGATGTCGATCATATATCAGGTCAAGCAAGGACAGCCTGTCACTCGAATAGGAACACCGACTCCAGCAGCATTACCGGACACTGCGCACCACGAGCTCACGACTGTACCTACACATACACCAACCTTGGAACTGTTAGCATGTCTGTCAATCGCGTGGTCGTCGTCGGCGCAACAGGTGCCGTTGGTGAACCAGTCGTCAAGGCTCTCCTCGAAGCCGGTTTCGAAGTCACAGCCTTCACCCGCGCATCCAGCAAGAACACCTTCCCCTCCGGCGTCAAAGTCGCCGCCGTAGACTACGAGGATGTGGAGAGCTTGACCAAGGAGTTGCAAGGCCAAGACGCCCTCGTCAGCACGATCGGCTTCGGCGGCGCCAGCTACCAGAAGAACCTGCTCGATGCCTCCATCGCCGCCGGCGTGAAGCGCTTCTTGCCCAGCGAGTTCGGCTGCGACCTCGAGAACGAGAAGGCTGCCGCGCTGCCAATCTTCGCACCGAAGATCGAGGTGGAGAGTTATGCCAAGGAGAAGGTCAAGGGCACGTCGACGAGCTACACGTCCGTGTACACCAACGCCTTCCTGGACTGGGGTCTGGTGAACCATGGCCTATTGCTCGATCTGCCGGGCAAGAAGATCCAGCTGATCGACGGCGGCGAGACGCCTTTCACGGCCACGCCGCTGGACTTCATCGCGAGGGGTGTGGTTGCCATCTTGCGGAATCTCGATGCGACGGCCAATCGTGCTGTGCGGCTGAACGGCGCGGTCGTGACGCTCAATGAGCTGTGGGGTTACGCGAAAAAGCATGCCGGTGGCGAGG